CCTGACAGACACTTCAGAGATTTAAGGCTATATATTTAAATCTGAAAATGTTTATAGAGGCAGTTAACTTTTGTATGTAAATGTGAAATACATTTTTACTGAGATTCATGCCTTGATATTTAAAAACTGCTAGTGTCATTCAATCAAAAGGCTGAAAATTAAGTTAGGCAATGTATAACCAAAATCTTTTTCCCACCCCCAGGAGATGAGTTATATCCAGAAGATCCAGATTATACAGGAGAAAAGAAAATAATCATGTCAACAGACAAGAAGGTTGAAGATCTCATGAAAGGGGGTAGTATATTTCACAGGATAGTAATAAAAAACATCAACAATCTTTCTGTCTACGTTAATATTCAAGCAAAATACAAGCATATAAATCCATTGACAATAAACTCTGCCTGTTCAGATTACAATAGCAAATTATAGTATCTGTTTGGTTTAAAGATAGAAATTTTTTAATTACATATATATTCACTGTGAGGTTTGCACTTTTCTAATCAGTGCCAAATAGTCAGGAAAATACTCCTTTGTCCTGCCAAACTATTTTGTGTGTGCAATTTGATTTGAGTAACTAACTCTCTGAAATAGAACAGATGTGCCAGTTACAATGTTCAGAGGCCACTGAAAATTTAATGTAACCATCAACTGTTGTGATTTCATATTAACTACACTGAACAATTACTATCATATTCTACTTACATACTAACTTTAGAAATAGCTGCAACACTGGTCTGCTGGGTTACACAGGTCCTTTTCTCCCTGAAAATTTAAGTATATATTAAGTTCAGACCAAGTATGTTTTGATCTGAAGAATTGACTATGCTTCTGAAAATTACACATTAAACAACTGTAATGTGCATCTAGAAATTAATGAAATCTCCCGTTCTCTATCTGCTGACATCTCCCTGTTCTCTCTTTTATTCTGGGGAAAATCGGCATATATGTATATAGAGATCTATTAGCTGAAAGTAACTTTTTAAAAAGAATATTATGAAATTAATATTAGATTATAATATTAATATTAGATACACCTAAATTATATTTACTAATAGTAATCTAGTCAAAACTACAGTTTTCAAAAGTAGATAATTTACACAAAGGTACGTCACATTGAGTGCATTCTCAGGTTGGTTCTCAGGGATTTCAGGTTGGTTGGTTTTTTTTTTTTGTGCAATGTGTGGAATAAAGGAGCAGTGATGTAACTTCTTTACCTGGAAGAAGTAAGTATGATGACTTGACATTAGCTAGTGAAGTTCTTCAGAAAGCTTTGTTTCAGCTTTTGTTCTGTATTTCAGTTAAAAACATCTGCAAAATTTTAATTAAATTGGTTTATAGTATTCACTTGGATTGGGAAAAAAATGTGTCTTTTTCTTCTCTCTGAACATGCTCAGGCTGTTCTTGGTTTTTCAGACCTTACTGAAATTTGTATACCTCTACAAAACATGGGTCACATGAAGCAGAATATTATGCAGTATGTTATCTTCTTCAGAATATTCTGGCTAGCTCTTCTGAACATGAAGACAATGGGATAATTAAAATGGAGAGTAGAGGAAACAAAGAAAATACCCTGTAAAGCTGTCTTATATGGTATGGGCAGGGGCATCTTTCACTAGACCAGGCTGCTCCATGCCCTGGCCAACCTGGCCTTGAACACTGCCAGAGATGGGGCTGCCACAGTTTCTCTGGGCAATCTCTTCCCGTGTGTCACCACCCTCACACTAAAGATCTTCCTAACATTGGTCTCAATTTATTACCCTCTGTTAAAAAAACAAACAAACAAAAAAAAAAAAAAACCAACCCCAAAACCCCTTGAAAGCAGGTGAACCATTTTATCTGGAACTTGAGAGGAATACTCAGCTTGAGGCAGTTATGTGCCAATGCCAAACTTAAGTGGTTCAGGACAAGGGTGTCCATGTCATAACTTCAAGCTAGCGACTTCAGAGCAGAAGCTACTTGCAGTTTTAATTTGCCATTTTGTGTTTAGCTCCCTTAGAGAGCACAACTTCTCTGTCCCACTGTCTCACCACTCTCACAATGAAGAATTTCTTCCTTACATATATAAACTAAAGCTACTCACTTTTAGTTCAAAACCATTAACCCTTGTGCAGTCACTACAAGCTAGTCCCATCCTCTAGCTCCCTGAACAACTGAAAGTTCAGTCTCCTAAAAATTCAGGGTCTTCACTTTACATTACTTACTTTATCCAGTCCAAATCCATCGAGATCATTAATTCAAACATACAAAACAATATACATAAGAAAATACAAAAAAAAAAAAGTAATCTTAAATTGCTCTGATTTCACAATACAGCCTTATAGTTGCTCAAGAGCTTCCTTGATGATCTTTTTATTGTTATATCTCACAGTTCTACCATTTTAGTTTTGTGATAGAAAGTAGCTATTAGGAGAAAATATTCTTAGGAAACAAATTATTCAGCAACATAGATACAGGTTAGATTCTTACCTAAGTTTTTACACCCCTGTATGCAGCGGTAGATTTATACCTTTAATCGTAGGGTTTGCTGTGTCAGAACCAGTTACTTCAATACTAAATCTGCATCTTAAAAGTGGGCAGTCTGCCTCTCCAACTTTGATTGACGCCCGTAACTTTTTCTTTTCCACCAACAAAAGTAAAATGGTCCAGGAGGGGGAGCTCTATGGCCAAGAGACAAAAGAGTTGGGGGAAAAAGTATGTATCTAAAAAAAATATATATATACACACATATATACACACGATTTTACACAGAAAGTTATGATGAAAGTTAAATGCAACCCTGAATGGCTTAGAATATACATAGAGCCAATAATGAGTGTTCAATATTTTGAGTTAAAAATATTAAAGCTGTAGTTTCAAAATCCTGAGGCCGTCTTAAGCATGGGCTTCTACCCAAAGAGGTGCGGGGCTTCATGTCCTAACTGTGTGTTTCATCCCCTTCCCTTGGGCCAGCACCTTGTCCATGCACCCTTGTGCAGTATTAAGTCAGGCCTAAACCACTCTATTTTAAGCCTGAATGGAAATGCTTTATAACTGAGCTCGAGATACAGACTGAATATTTCCCCTAAACCCGAAATAGGATTTACATCTTCTGTTGTGGAAACGCACATATTTGTGTAGCACAGCTAAACTCCAGTATGGCACTACCACTTCCCCCCCCCCCCCCCCCCCCCCCATCTACCTATTTTTACAACTTTGAAGAACATGCTCCGCTACAGTCTGCTTCCTCTGATAACACACGTATCACAGCTGCCCCAGATACCACCGCTTCACGCTGCCTGACGCGACCCCACCTCAAAAGCAGCCCTAGCCCGCTGCTCCGCCATGTTCCTATGCAGCCCCTTCCCTCCGCCCCTTGGGCACCACCTCAGCTAGGCTCACCCCCTCAAGCCCGCGGCAGAACTAGCGGTAAACTTGTCACTAAAAGCTCGTTTATTGCAGCACCACGCTGAAGCAGGTGAAAAGGCGCCACTTCACCGCTAACCCCGGCCCGGCCCGGCCCCTCCCCTCCTCACCGCCCGCTTATGGTTGCTCTGGGAGTGCGCGAGCGGCGATTTCTGGAAGCCTCTGGGGCGAGTGTGAGTGTGAGGGAGCGGGTCTGGGGCTGTGTGTGGGCTCTGGCGGTGCTGGTGGCTTAAGGTTAGCGGGTTATTTTTATGGGGGTAGAGCGTGAAACTAAAGCAGAATATGAAGGAAGCTGGGGGAGGGAGGCAGTATAGCAAAAAGTACAGATTCTTAGTAGTGTTCCACCCTTTACTGAGCTCTTCTTTGGGCTGTGCTTGTAATACGTGGGCCTTTTAAGTAAAAGCTGACTAGAGGGAGGGAGGTTGGGATAGTGAGTTGATTTTTCTAGGTGTGTGTGGACCAGGCATGTGTTGAACAGAGGCAATCCTCTTCCGTCTGGTACGTATTAAGGCAGCAGTTTGAGATGAGAGGGTTAGTGCCCTCTTATATACTTCTTTATAAGGTAAATAGCATTAGGTAGGGGACTTGAATAAACGTTTGTCAGTACTTAGTTCTTACTAAATAAGCAGGAACTAAGAATGTGTTAGTAAGAACTAAGTAATGTGTTAGTAATCAATATGGTAGGAGAGCCAGCCTTTTACATGGGTATGCTTTATCCTTGATACTTTATGTTCAAACCATTTATGCAGTTCTTTAACCTGGTAATGTTTGCCTGCAGCACTTCTTGAGCTCTTATTTCAGGGCCTACCAGTTATTTGGCTCAATTAATGAGTCTATTCTGAATTTAAAATTTGAGTAGAAATGTAATATCACTCCTTTAAGTGAGTGATACGTAATTCTAGTAATATCAGATAACTTAATATGTATGTTATCTATATGTCTATTTACACTAGACATTAGGAAGAAATTTTTTACTATGAAGGTGCTGAGGTGCTGGCACAGGGTGCCCAGAGAAGCTGTGGCTGCCCCATCCCTGGCAGTGTTCAAGGCCAGGCTGGTCAAAGCTTGGAGCAACCTGGTCTAGTGGAAGGCGTCCCTGCCCATGGCAGGGGGCTGGAACTGGATGAGCTTTAGGGTCCCTTCCAGCCCAGACCAGTCTGGGATTCTATAGGTCACTTAATGGTTTTGCATTTCTCAGACAGAGGGAGCAGGAGAGGTTATTTATTCTTCTCACATGTTATTCCTGAAATGAAAGTTTTTATTTTTGAACTGCTTAAGGCAGCACTATGTCTCTCATGGTAGAGTGCAGTCTTACAGACTTAGGTGAAACCTGGAGGGTATGATTTTATCATGTGTTACCAATGTTCTAAGTATAGTTTCAGTTTGTATTGTAGTGTCAAGCTGAGAATAACCATCTCTTAGCAAAGTATATTGCTCGTTGTGACCATAATATAGAAGTATTGCTTTTTATGTAGTATGTCTGGGGACAAGTAGCAAAAATACATAGCCTTGCTTTAGGTGTGTGCTCTGTAGGTACACTTCAAAACAAATGATGTCTTTAAAAGTGGTTGATTAAACATGTGATGTTCTTTTACAGTAGCGTGGAGAAAAACTCATCTGAAAAACATGGAAGTCTTTGCATTAAAGGTATGCTGGCAGTTTTTAAAGTCTAAAGGATCGCTGTTTGCTTATTTCAGCATAGTTCTATAGAAGCCAGATTTACAAATAAGATAATACCTCTGTATTTCCCTTCAGCAGCACTTTCTATGTTTGTGGGGTTGTATGTGGAATATATGGTTTTTTGTCATTTCTTCTGGGTGTTTATATTGGTTTCATCTCAGAAGAGGGTGGTAGGGATGCAGCTGAAACCTAAAATGGAAGATGTGCAGCATGATTTTATTTGAAGCCTAGTATAGTACTAGATTTTACTGAATTCCACAGAAGAGCATGGAAAAATTTTTCAGACTACAGCCAGGACAGTTAACCCAAGGGATACTGCGTGATGTCATGCTCAGCAATAAAAGCCATGGGAAGGAAAGGGTGGGGTCTGTGGTTATCAAATTTGTTTGCCAAAGTCAGCATTATGTGTGATGATGCTCTGTTTTCCTGGAAATGGCTGAACATTCGTTTGCCAATAGGAAATAGTGAATGCATTCCTTATTTTCCTTTGCTTGCGTCTGCAGCTTTTGCTTTACCTCTTCAGCTGGGTTTATGTAAGCCCATAAATTTTCTCACTTTTACCCCTCCAATTTTTTCTGACATCCCACTGCAGGGAAGTGAGGGAGTAGCTGTGTGGTGTTTAGCTGCCTATTAGGATTAACCTAGATTAGCTGAAAGACTGGGATATGAAGGTTTACAAAGGCTGAGCAGAAAGCTATGACCTGGTTTTAAAAAACCTGTACTTTAGATTCTCTGAGCATGAAGAAGAGTCCACTAGTGAGGTTTGGTGTGTGTTTCATGGTTTTTAAACATACTTCTTGCAGACAGTATGGAAATAAAAAGCATTATGTGTTTGCATTTTACCCGAAGCCTGGTTTATCCAGCTTCTTAGGTAATGCTACTACCTTTGCAGTGCTAAAGGCACTTGGTAGCTAAGAAGTTATTTAATGAGCTAACGGTCTGAAGTTGAAAGATATTTTTGTCTGTATGCCAAGTATCTGTTAACAGTAATTTTTAAGATGCCTCACTAAAGATTTTAGATTTTATTTTTACATTTGCTGATCAGAGATTCTTAAAAACACCTTATTGTTATAGCAGGCACTAATTATACTTGTTATCTACTCCTTGCCCCAGGTTGAAGATCCAGGTTGCTTTTGGGTTACTATGAAAGAATGTGGGCCTTTCGTAGTTGATGAAGTGGCATATAAAAAACTGAATGATGAAATTAATCAGTTCTATGACAAATCTTACAAAGATGCACATGAAGTAAAGCCAGTAATGGTGGAAGAAGGCCAGGTAAAATTGTTGCTATATTGTGCTGGTAGAATAATTTGTTGCTTACGTTGATCTGGGTATGAGGTATCCAAGATACACATTAATCTTTTTAAATATTGCTATATAGAACAGTAGGTAATGGCATTTATATGGGTTATGTCTTCTTACCTGTAAACTCCAAAGTTACATAAGCTGTGATGCTTGCATTTTAAAAACAAAATTGAGGGCTATATAATACTGTATTCTTGCCTCATAAAAAATCTTTTTTGAGTGTAATTTTTCTCCATTTACAAGAACCTGCTGTTTTGCTCTTTTTCAGGTTTGTGTGGTTTTCAGTGAGGAGCTCAGATGTTGGTGTAGAGCAGTTATTAAGTCGGTCATGTACTGTACAGATAATTATCAAATGGAATGTTTCCTTGTGGATTATGCAAAATACATTTTTGTTAAATCAAAGGAGTAAGTGTTTGGGTTTTTTTTACACTGTGACTGAAATACTTTTGTTATTTAATGTGTACAGATAGTATTTATTTAGATTGATAATGACAAGGATTTGATTTAATTGAAGTGTAGGTTGGGTCCTCAAGAAACTACTCACAGTATGATAGGCCCTTGCAAGTGTAGATGCAAACCAGTTTTTGTTTTCTGAATTTGTAAAGATGATTTCTATTGTAGGTTTTGGATTTTCTTTGAAGATTTGAAATAGAAATAATGTCAGCTTGTTATAACTGAAATGTATGTTTGCTAGTTAACATTAGCTGTGTATACTTTCCTCCCTTGTAAAATGGTTGTATGTAGCTTAACCAGCTTTTGATCTAGAGAAAAGTACATGGGTTTTATAACTTGTTTATTAAGAGCTGACTGACTGGTGAAAAAAAAGTTGAGTTTTTGCAAGCTCCCTGTTTATAACAAAACCACTATGAAACCAGCTGTTCCTAAAACCTTAAAAAATATGTTCTGTACAGTAGCTGTTCCAGCTTTTGGCTAGATTTAAAGCTCATTTCCTGAAAAAACTTTTACAAAAGTTTTTCTGTAGCATTCCACGAAATTAAGAATGATTATTTGAAGTATTTTAAAATAAATCTGAAGTTAAATAATGCTTTTAAGTTGAATGTTGCTGTATTGGAAAACAACGTGACAATGCCATGAGTTTAAAATACGTTGAACTAGAAGTTAATGTGATACTTGCTGCTTTTTCATTGTAAAAAAAAGAAAAAAATGTTACACACAAAAGTGTAAGTCTATGGATTTTTTTGGTTTTTTTTTAATAATTTTATATGGATCACTGTATACGGTGGCTTGTTGGTTGTTAAATGTCTCCAGCCAGACTACGTGTAAGGGGTGAGATTGATGTAGAACCATAGAAACATAGAATCATAGAATAGTTAGGGTTGGAAAGGACCTTAAGATCATCTAGTTCCGACCCCCCTGTCATGGGCAGGGACGCTTCATACTAGACCATGTCACACAAGACTCCATCCAGCCTGGCCCTGAACACTGCCAGGGATGGAGCATTCACAACATCCTTGGGCAACAAATTCTTTAGGAAAATGAGCACAAATGCAAATGAGTGTGTATATTAGAAAGGTGGATATGAGACAGTGACTTCTGGAGAGTAAAATCTACTCTGTAAAATGAGATTATTTCCACTTCTGTTTTAAGCATTCAAGTTGCTATGGAACCATTTATGCAGCTCCCATATAGAGCAAAAAAGTGTAGACTGTATCGCACAAGGCCAGTGACATTGCGTATTGACTTGTGTGAAGAGACTGCAAAAATAGTGTAAGTAGAGTTTAATGATTATATTCTGTTCATAAATACCTTAAATGTGAAGTTGTCTTTTTTTGTTTGTTTTTTTTTCAATAGGTAGTATTTCAGGAAGAACAGAGAACCAGTTTTCCAAGTCTTACTTGCTGTTTCTTTAAACAGAACTGCTTCCTTAACAATTCTTCCTTAATGATTTGGGGTTTGTCGTTCACCTGTTTTGGTATTTATTTAGAAATCTGTGGAAGTTTATACAAGTTTTTTGAAACCTACTTAGTAATATAATCTATCCTTATGTATTGTTCTGTACAGATACTCATCTTACTCCTGATACTCCTTGTGTGTGGTAGTTACATGTACCTGAACTAAAGTTCTATACCTGTATATAAGTAGTGTTGGTTTTCCCTATTGTTTTTTTTCTGAACATATTTTGGATTTCTGTTGTGCTTTATTTATAATCATGTTAGTATTATACTCCTTCAAAGCCTGGGGTCTGGTGGTAAAATGTTTTTGTTTCCTTGAGTTACAGGGGGCTGTTGTTGAAGATCCTGCCAACTTGAGAGGGACATGATTAGATCACTGGGAAATACAGCTCTGCAGCAAGAAAGCTGCTTTAATTTGTGTTACTAAAGAATACTTAAAACTACATGTAGTCATGCAGGTTTTTGTTGGTTTGGTTTTTTTAATACTCTTGTTTGGAGGAAGAAATTAGTATCTGACTTCCTGTATTCTGACAAAACAAATATTAGCCAGGTTTACATAGAAACAACGTATGTCTTCAATGGACCATCATTGGGAATTACCAGAAAAAGTAGTAAATAGACACATTTTGTTCACGGTGCTGTTCATTTGGTTCACTTTTTTAAAGTTGCAGAAAATGGTGAAGAGTGAACTTGATTTTCTGCTACAGACTTCAGTCTTCAGCACTTCAGTATTTAAGTGCTTGTTCAGAATTGCTCAGTATCTATTAATGTATTACAGAAGTGGATTCTTCCTTTCTTTTGGGTTATTCTGTTTCATTTGTAACCATATTTTATGTAAGCCATCATACCTTGACAAAGCAATATCCAGTAACATCAGCGCGTTTTATTGGTGAGCTGAAAAAATATTATTAAGACTAAAGATGGATTCTAAGTAGGAAGAGTCTGCTGATATGTCTAGTTGATGCGCTTCTTAAGATCTGGTGTGGCTTGGAATAATACCTTTACCTACTTCCAAAGTTAGTTTGCCTTTTTTTTTTTTCTTTCCCAAAACTGCCATTTTAATTTTTTATGATGTGGGATAACTGGTTGTGTTTGTTTTCCTAGACCAGCCAAACGATGGGATAGTGCTGCTACATGGTATTTTCAGAACCTTCTCAAAGGTAAATGAGACCTGCCAAAATCATAATTGGCACTATTTTTGGAAAAACAAACTGTTAGAGGAAATGTAGTACTTGTGCTTATGCATTTTATTAGATGTAAAAATGTATATTAAAAAGAGCAGTTACGAACACATTTTTGGATGGACTGAATAAGGCAAAAATACTTGAGCTGCGTCTTGAGTACTGTGGGCTTCCATGCTGCATAAATTTTGATAGTCGATCAGATGATATCTGGCTCTTGGATAGGCTAGATAACATAGCACATAGCACTCACGCAACATCTGTTTTGAACAGTGGAGCCTTTCCTGGGTATTTAGCATAAATCATTGCCTCAGCATCATAGTGGGAGTTTTGTACAGAGATGGGAAGATCTGTCTTAGGAGTTTATGCATTCGGTTATTTTTTGATAAGGATGCAAGCACCAACTTAGAAAAGGAGCATCTGTTATGCTGTTAACAAATAGATTAAGCCCCAACTAGCTACTTAATAAGCTAGAACTGTTTTTTTCTCCCCTGTGTTCTTGTCCCCATGTTTGGTGTTTCAGTAGGTTACCTAGTCTTTTTCATGTGAAACCCTCTGTTCTGCTCATATGCTTTGGCCTGAAAAACTACTTGCTTACTCACAAGTAGAACAAATTCCACATAAAATGTATTTGGGAAGGAGAGGATGAGTTTATGAAAGCAGCATAGGATCTTTAGGCTGATAATTTCACAAGCTAACTGGGACAGAGCAATTCTTGCTGTTTACTTCTCCTCTCATTTAAGTGTGACTGTGCAAAGTAAAGGTTAGTAGGGAGCAATATCTTCATCAGTATTCCCAGGCTATATCATAAGTAGTAATACATATATTTTTCTTATTGCTAGCACATTATTATTGTATGCAGAAGTGCTTCAGAATTTATGAACAGAATTTTATCATCCTTGTTTGCTTGAATGAAGACTCTAGCCAAGCTGTAAAATTGTACAAATATAACTGCTTTCAAGAAAAGTAAATGTCAGGTTTGGAAAGTATGCATTTTTACTACAGACTGTCAGAGTCTAAAACTAAGACTTTTAGTGCAGAACCAAGTCTAGCTTATAGAGAGGTCATTAATTTGTATTGTCTCAATCTTCCATCAAAGACTAAGACAGACTTCGTTTTTGTATTCTTAATGTTTTACTGCTGTGTTTCTTTATTTGTTCATTTAAAAGTTACTATGTTTGTGCTAGCATCTCTAAGGAAATAGGTTACACATTTAATTGTGATTTCTATTTTTGTCTATCTTGGGAAGTACAAGTGAAAAATACTGCTAATTTGATTAGGGTTTAATTTTTTACTTGTTCTTGTGTGTATTATTTTATTTAGCTTCTACCCATATGACAGCCAAGTTGTGTGCCATAGAAGATAACACATTTGATGTTTTCCTTTATGTGACGATAAAAGATGAAAAGGTAAAATACTTATTTATCTACAAACCTATTCATGCACTTTGCTGTGTAAGTTGTAACTTTGATGTTTAAGACTGAAAGGCATTATTTGCAAGTGAGTTTTGTAATTTATGTCAGATACAGTAGATGCTAAATCATAACTTATTAGGAGTTTTGGTTTATACTTCTGTTGCTTGTAAACTTCTGGAGGAATTCCAAAAGGCAGAAATTCCATCTTATTTAATGTGAACCTCTCTCTGGAAGGCATTGACAGGCCATTGGAGTCAAGCAAGTACTTCAAATAGACAACTTTGTGAATTATTTAGCATACTTTCGTACCTTTTTGTGGTATCATGCTTAAAGATGTTTCGATAAGGCAATAGCATAGTAGTATAAAAATAAATAGAAGTTCATGCTTGCTTTTGCATAAGACTGAATCCTCGAACTTTTGCAGGTCGGGGGAATCAAACCAAGCCTAGTTCCGCTTGCCAGGATGTGTAATTTGTGCTAAATCCTTGGTGTAGCTACTGGCAGACTTGAGCAGCTATATGGTAGATAGAAGTGAATGTATCTTAATACTGCTTCTACTTGGAGTGCTTTACCGAGGCTTTTAACACTGGAGCCATGGTCTTAACTTTGAAGATACATACTAATTTTAATATCTTCTCTTAGAATCCCAATTGTTACTTATCTCTGAACCAGTGGAGTTGAAGTTTTAGGTTTGGTATTCCTTCATTCTCCCAGAATTTGATGCACACTGAATCAAAAAGGAATAAACCAGTGTGACAGACTTAGGGGTTGTTGGTTGGTTGGTTGGTTGGGGGGGGGGGGGGGGCTTGGGGAGGGTTGATTTTTTTGGATTTTTTTTAAGGATTATAGAAAACACTAATTCAGGCAGTAGCACGGTGGCTAATTAAGATGGCTAATTAACACCTCTTTGAAGAATGTACAGGAAGATAGTAATGATTTTCCTGTTCTGGAGTTAATATCCTTGTGGTTCAGCCCAGATCGGTTAACTTCAGCATTGCCAGTTGCTCTGCTTCCATTGCTGCAACCACCACCACAGGGCATTTGCCACCATCCATGAGTCAGTACAGAGATAAAGTACTGGCCACTTTCCTCATTCAGCAATGTCCAAGGCCAGCTGAATGACTTTCACCTCTGCAAACCAACTCAATTCACCATCTGCTTCAGCAGTTTCTGCAGCTTGTCGTAGGGGACTCCATGCAGCTGTCTTCTGTCTCCAGTGCTTCCAAAGCACCGGAGGTGCCCACTGGTGTAAGTGCTTCCCCATACAATCCCACACACCCTGCCACTCATGACTGTCCAGTCTTGGGAAAGATCTCTAGGTAGTATTCTTAAATAGTCGTTTAACCATAGACAAGACCCGAGCCATACCCTGCTTAACTTCTGAGATTGGACAAGATCAGGTCTTCTCGGGGTGGTCACGCTGTAGGTGAAACATAGAGAGCAAATGCAGCAAAAAGCTGGTTCCCAGCAAAAGGAGCAGGATGTTTTCAAGGGCATTGAAAGGATATTCAAGATCTGTAACTTTCCCAGAATCAACTCGTACTACAAATAGCCTTGTGGGGGAACAGAGGGTGTGAGGGCATATCTCTTACGTAGGTTGACCCCCTGAGGAAAGGAAAAACAAAGATGTGTAATTGTTAAAAATCCTCATTATATGCATCCTATAGTATAGAGGTGATGACAACACTGGGAATGCAAGACAGACCAGTTTCATGAGTCTATTGTATTGCAAGTCATTACCATGAAGTACAAGGAAACAAGAACCGTAGCCCAGGCCCCCCTGCTGGTAAACACTAAAACAGAAATACTGGCCGTAACTAAGGTACAACATGCTGCAACTCTGAGATCAAGCACAACAACTCTGAGAGCCAGTAAATCAGCATTGTGACAAGTGATTATTAATCCAAAACAGTGAATGCTTATCACAAGTACAATTAGACCTGCTCTGGTCAGATCTGTCGTTACGTCAACCCTTCATGCCCCACATTGGGTGCCACAAAGAACTGTTGTGGTTTAAGCCCAGCCAGTAATTCAGAACCACGTAGCTGCTCTCTCGCTCCTCCCTCTTCTTCCTCCCCTGCACCTGGAGTGATGGGGAGGAGAATCAAAAGAATGTAACTCCCACTGGTTGAGATAAGAACAGTCCAGTAACTAAGGTATAACACAAAACCACTGCTGCTACCACCAATAATAATAATCATACAGGAAATAACAAGGGGAGAGAATACAACCGCTCGCCACCTGCCAACTGACACCCAGCCCAACCCAAGCAGTGATCTGGCCCTTTGGGTAACTCCCCCCAGTTTCTGGGCATGACATGCTGTGGTATGGAATACCCCTTTGGTTAGTTTGGGTCAGGTGTCCTGTCTCTGCTTCCTCCCGGCTTCCCCTCCTCCCTGGCAGAGCATGAGACTCAAAAAGTCCTTGATCAGAGTAAACATTACTTAGCAACAACTAAAACCATCGGTGTTATCAACGTTGTTCCCAGGCTGAAAGCCAAACCATAGCACTGCACCAGCTACTAAGGAGAAAAATGACAGCTACTGCTGAACCCAGGACAATTCTTCAGGAAACATTCACTGGTACTGCTTATGTCTTACTACTGTTGTTTACAGCTTCGCATAAATTTTAAACTAGTATGTGATGGTGTAGGTTATTGTTCAGTATTGATCAGTAAAGATCTTGGGTTTTTTAGGTATGTGTTAATGATGATCTTGTCTCGAAGAACTTTGCTCGTTTTGAGGAAGCTGAAGAGAATACAGGGAGTTCTGCAGATTATCAGGAGAATCAAACCTCATTAAATGCTGAGAGTCTTCCATTGAAAATTGTTAGTCCTGCACTTGCTTTCAGGCCAGTGCTGTTTCAGAAGAAGATACCAGCAAATCTTGGAACAGGTGGGAACCATTCGTGTGGGGAAACAAACAAGCAATGCATTATGTGTCTTCAATTGCATATATTGAACATGGACCTACTGTCTTGGTTTGAGTCCATCAACTGGATCCAATGGTATGCTGACAAACAGTGCTTATATATCAAAATTTGCAAAGATGATCATACCAGATTCAAGAATAAAACTTTTTGTACTCTGAGTCAAAGGAAGGCCAAGGTTGAGTTACACTGGCATTAGTTAATATGCTTAATAGCAGTGAATATTCCTGAAATTACTTGTGGCATGGATCGGTGATGCATTGCTGGGTTTTTTGAGTTTGGTGAATTTATTTGAAGAGAGTTGCTTCTAACATGAGTGTTTACCATGAGTTGTCTCACAGTGATTCAAGTCTGTCTTTTTACAACTTTCCATCTTCCAGTCTTGTGTCTACTCAGTTCACCTGCTGTTATCTTTATGTAAAGATAACTATTTTTTGGTGGTTCTTTTGCCATTGGGAAATGATACAAACAACTAAACAAGTCAGTTGTAACCCACTGCAAATAAAAATGCTGGCTGTTCAGATAATCAAAAATGTGTATCTGCATTTTTTACTTTTACTAGGTCTTCCTGTTTCCAGTTCCTCCCTTGAAGACGCACACCAAAGGTTAAGCGCAGATCCAGATTTAAATACTGTGCCGGTAAATATTGTATTTTGTATTTAACTGTCAAAAGACGAACTAAATTAAACACATAGGATGGGTTAGGAATCCTGTAGTCATCTAGCTTGTTATTCTGTGTAACTTAGATCTGAGGGACTGGACTAATTCGTGATACAGGTAAAAAAAGAACATTGTACTACAGTTCTTTGGTTTTGTTTTTTTTTTTTTTAATTGCAGTTACTTAAAACAGTGTACTACAGTCCTTGAAAATTTTGTGCTTCTCTTTGCGCTCTTAGCTATAGTTTTCTGAAGGTGATAGTTGTCAACATTACACAGTTTTCTGAATATATAAAAATGTAAATTTCAGTGATTCCCTGAAAACAGAACAGTCCTTATGCTGTACCATGGTAAACATTCTTTGGAGTCTTATTTGTTGACTTGTGTAATAGTTTAAATCTCTAATCTTGTTTCTTGCTGTTTTCTCTTTTTGTTTGCTATTCTTTTCTGAAACACTTTCAGAAGGTCAGCACTCATTTTTGAGTGTTACATCATGTACCGAATTGCACCATTGGAGGTATTATAATGTCCATGGGGGAAAGGAAAATTAGCTGATGGATTCTAGGCACATAATCACAATTGAGTGTATGCCATCACAGGTCTTCTGAAGAGCCTGTATGCTGTTCCATGTCTTTCTCTTCTAGGTGCTTTAAAAGGAGGAGTTTGCTTTATTATGGCAACAGAGCTGCTACTTCTGTTGGGTGGGGTAAAAAAGAAGTTTTGCAGAAGTTATTTTTTTAGTTCTGCTGAGAATTGAAGGATGACAACCACTTCTGAACTTAAGCTGTACAACTTAACTAAAATATTTTTGTGAGAATGAGGAAAGTAGTCATATAGATTCTTAGGGAAGCAGAGCAGGATTGCTTTTATAACCTCCTGCAAACAGTCAGCCGAGGTACCTTTACCAGCTGCTTGAGTGATGCAGGTCTTTAACCAAGTCACATCTTGTCCATTGATGACTGGTAACTAATGATGAATACTAGAAAATCCCCTGTTCAGAACCAGATGTTTTCAGGGTAACTGTGAATCCTGTATCTGTTACTGGTTACTCCCTTGAGGATTTGTAGTGTTGTTCAGTTTAAGTTCATGTGCATTGTTTTTGTAAGTGTGGACTGGGTAACCTGTTTCTGTTTTTACTCCCATCTGTGGCATGTAGGATTTGCATGTTTTTTCTTAATTTTATTGTAAAAATAAAAAGGTTTAATAAGTAATCAGTGTGTGTTCATACTAGCTCAGGTCCACAGTTATGACTGTAGCTTGAGATGTGACCATGAACTAATTTTTCTTTTGTGTGGGTGATGTTCTTGTTGTATGTTCAATTCTTAGTTAAGAAAATACTGTCCTGTAACAAGATAGATGGCTTTCTGAAGTTTGTTTCATAAAAAATCTTGCCTTATTCAGACAAACTTAAAATTTGTACAAAAATTCTCCAGAATATTTGGAAAATCCTAGAGTTGGGTAAGAAAACCACATTCAACTCAATAAAGAAAACAGTTTTTCTAAAATGTTGCTTTTGAACAGTATTTTTGTACTAAAAAGTGTTTGCCTTTTCTTGGTAGGTTGTCAAAGAAGTTCCAGATTTGCCTTTCAAGGAAAATACGGAAGTCCACACAGACAAGTATGGTGCAGTGTGTTCAGTATTTTAAGGGGTTATGTAATCAAAGACTGAAGAGCTGTAGTATGTTTCCAGTTTATTCTCAGCCATCTGAAAGGGTGGAGGGTAAGAGAAGATGCATAAACATCTTCTTAGATGCTTTTGGGGACAAAGGAAATTTGAAGCTGCTGGTACTTTATCCAGACTACAATAAAAATAGCAGCTCTTTTTAAACAATAGCTTTGATAACAAGGATGTGATGGGGGAGTATTTTTCTGCAAACTAAACATGTTAAATTGTTTTATTCTTAGTGTGATTTATAAAGTTCTCAAACTTAATGAAATATGACTATGAATTGATTTGTGCAAAGCTTTTTCTATGCTGCATATCAGTTGATGAATATGTAATGAACCCAAACCCTGTTTCTTTTAATGCAGTTTCTAACTGATGCAAAGCTATATTGTCTTCTTTTTTTAAGAAACTATTTTATAGTGCAGTCTAATTATCTTTTAAAGTTGATGGATCCTCCAGTTGTCTTCAGGTTTAAAAACAAAATAAAAATCCATAGGATTATTTTCAGGTGCCTGAAAGCTAATACTGAATTCTATTTTGAAAATGGTACTATCTGATTTCTTCTTTTATGCTCAAGGGTTTTCCTTCTTGTAATAGGTACTGCATCAAAAATACTTTGAGTGAATTGCTTTATGACATTTTAGAAATATTTGTGATAGTTATAATTCTACTTTTGCATTTATGTTGGATTTAGTATTTGCATGCTTTTCTCAGGCTTCAGCAGTGCTTAAATTCTGATCTTCCGAAGACAAACATAGTAGAAGATGACCAACAGGTATTTCAAGGACTTTAATTTAAACTTTTTTACCTTCTTTTGTGCAAATGTGTTGTGTATTTGTGGAAGGTTGTGGTAGTGTTGGGGTTGCAGGGCTGGTCTTTGTGTGGTCTTTGTGGAAGGAGTTAAGGGGCTAATTCCAGCTGCATCAGTGGCAGGACCCACTGTAGGCCAAAGCTGAGCCAACCAGCAAAGTTGGTGGTACCTCTGGAAAACATGTTTAAGGGCAAAAAATAAAGGGGAGGGAACAAAAAAAAGTGGGAAGCAGAGCCAATGCCAAGGTCAGAGGGGTGGAAGAAGCTCTGTGCTGGAGTAGGTGTACCTGAAGGGACTGCAGTCTGTGGAGGACCCATGCTGGAGTGGAGGAAAGAAGTGAGAGCAAAGGAGCAACAGGGAGAAACTGCCATGTTATGACTCTAGTCCCAGCCTTGCAGTGCTCATTGCCGCAGTGGTGGGACTGACTGTAACCTGCACTGATGAGAAGCCTGGCAGTGGGGAAGGAAAGGTGTTTTCCTGAAATCTGTAAATGTTTGTTTCTTTGGGTTTGTTTTCCAATAGCCAAATCAGTACTCAGGTATTAATTGACAACAAATGAAGTTAACCTAAGGTTGAATCTGATTTGCATGTATCAGTAATTAAGTAACAGTCCTGTCTCTATTTTGACCCGTGAATCTTCTTGCTCAGTCTTACTGTTTTTCACCCCCATCCCTCTGGAAGGGGAGAATGAGAGAGCAAGTGGCTGTGTAGGTCCTTGGCTGTCAGGCAAGGGCAACTCACTACAGCAAATTTTACTAGTCACTGTTTTTTAATTGTATTTTAATCTTGTTGTAGCTGACTGCCAGTTGTACACAGAGTATCTAGTGCTTTCTCTTAAGTGGTTTAAGACAGTTGTGTTGAGACAGCCTTGATAAATCTTTCTATAAAAAATAATAATATTTGTCTCACCGCCAGTCTATATAACTTGGCTATATGTAAGAGTCATTTAAACGTATTTACAGTTTGTTTGACTATTTTTCATCAAAATAGCATTTTTTAAATACAACGATCACTTTTTGAGTCATATGTAAGCTAAAACACTTTCATTAAGTTTTGCCTTTGTCATCTGTCATGGTTCCAGAGTTCTAAAAATCTTAGTGAAGAAAGAAACTTAGTCTTTCTTAGCAACAAAATCGAGCCATCATCAAGTCTGGAAACAGCACCACTCTTTCATGAGCTCAAAAAGGTAATGCTAACGTAATATATTAGATTGAATCTCTTTTAAATCTAGTATCGCATCCCAACTTCAGATAACTGATTATTAAAGTAATACCTAATTTTGATAGAGGAATGTCTAGGAAGTTCTTGTGGTTGAATAACTGAAGCATCAGAGAGATGCTGTAAGAATTGTACATACATTCTTCTGGTATATTAGCCACTAGCACAAGTCGTGAGATTCAGATTTCAATATAATTAATTCAGCCCAGAATAGCTTTTTTCATATTGCATGTAAAGGACTTTCATCCTGTGGGTCTAAAGCTTTTAAATTGTAAATGTTGTGTTTTGTTACTGTTTTAAGTGTGCAGTTTTCATGTGGAGCTCTTATTTTTCTCTTTCTATAGGAACTTACTCGGAAACAGTTCTTAGGCCCTAACTTCACAGAATCTTACTGTTGGCCTTCAGTAGCTCGAGGATGTGATGTAGTTGCTATCTCGTATCAGGGAAATGATCCTTTCATATATGTTCCACCACTACTTACTTTACTGCAGTTGGAAGGTTGCTACAAAGCCTTTACAAACAAGAGTGGAGTATGTATATGTTGGAGTAGTAACAGGTGTTCTGATGTGCAGATGTAGAATAATGATCTCAAAGGTTGTGCATGTTCAGAATGTATACATTTAATGGGAACTTACTGGGTGATCTCTGTAATTACATGATGCTTGCCAGTTTAAGTAAGCCTTTTGCTTAGAGCCTTACACAGATGGGCCACATGAATGTGGGAGTCTAAAACTTATTTATCAAGTAATACCTAACAAGTTGTTAGTGTTACATCACTTTGATACTTAATGAAGCTTTGCTTTTAGGGGGATAGTATGTAGTAATTAAGTGGAAAAATTGTATTGGCTGTTCTAAATATTGTAATTTATTTTTCTAACTTGTATTAGATCACAGAAACAGAATTACTGAGGTTGTTAGGGACCTCTGGAAATAACCAGACTCTGAACTCTTGTCTGATACTATGCTGTAAAATTTTATATGTATGTATGTAGCCACTAGCACTTATTTTATGTCCTGGGTGGAAGAAGGCACAACTTGTTTTTGAGCTGCTGAAAACATACGAGAGATGCTCCAGACAGTTTCATCCGATGTTGATAATACTTGGGCAGAACAAAGCAGCAGCTAGCAGTGTGAAAATACAAGGCTGTAAGAATACTTTCTATCTTAATTATGCTTGAAAAACAATGTGGGCTGCTTTAATTGCAGGAAATTGTGAAAGAAGCAATTTATACTTCAGTTTCTTGTTTTATAAAGTGGTAATTCTGTTTCTTTAATGATACAATTCTGTAGTGATACATGGAGTTAGTAGTGTATTTAGCATTACTTGGTGTTAAAGCTGTTTGAATATCTGTATGTTCAGCATCTTTTTGCTTAGTTTTGAGTAATAACAGTCTTGAACCAAATTAGTGGTATGGTTTTGCTGAAGGTCATGCTGTATAAGGATTAATTGTGGACTGACTTGACTTAGAACTAGATTTATAATAGCTTTATTGATTTATGAGCATCCATTGCTGGTCAGAGGTACTGGGTCAGTCAGGGTTGGAGCTAATTCTCTTCACAGTCTGTATGGTCCTGTGTTCAGGATTTTGAATGGATTTCACTCATTCAGAACCTCTTGAGTATTACCAACTCAGGTCTGGAATATATGCAGGGGTAGAAAAATGCAAGCAAACTAAAAGTGACTGTTGACCAGAAGCTGTAAAATGTAGTTCAGTGTTCTCTGTATTAAATAGGCAAATAAATAAATACAAACATACAAAACCCCCACACAAAACAACAGGACCAAAAAGAAACCCCACAACCCTCCCAAACTTGTGGTGCATCTTGAAAAGCAAATGTGGCCTTTTTAATAAAACTACAAAGTCCTATAGTATCTTACTGATATTCTCTCAAGTTGTAAGTTACTGTTAACATTCTTTTCCTCCTACTTTTAGGTGAAGTAATAGTGACTACACCGTATAGCTTCCTGAGACTGTTTGAACATCACAATTTGTTTTGTCGACTTTGCCATCTTGTTCTTGATGAGATGGAGGTGCTCTTTTCTGATGCTGCTGAACAGGTAAGTGGCTGATATATTCTGCTAAAATGTTGTTCCCGTTGTTTGCAAGCTGTGAAAACAGTGGCACATACTGGAAAAAAAAAAGTCTTCCCAACCCCCTGTGGTAGGGTTGAGTCAGAAAATGGAATTTAAAGAAATCACATCTGTATACTTCTGGCAGAAAGAAGCGCTGGGAAGGTGGAGATGTCATCTGTTAAATCTGACTTTGCCTGCTATTCTTGTCCTTTTTTTTGACGTTTTTGGTTGGGTTTTGTTTATTTTTTAACTTAGCTCTGTTTTTCCCTGTTCCACACTGCTGCTCTATTGTTCTGTCTTCATTTGCTGTGGATGGTTTCCCAAGGATTTGCTTTCTTTTTTCAATTTGGTAGCAGTAGTTTGAATATAGGTATCTTAAATCTGCTTTAAAGACTTGCATCATCTGTGTGTAACGAGCTTCTCTCTTATCAGTGCTGTTTAAACAGTTTCAGTTCAGGAACCATCTTTATTGGTAAGTTTCTCAGTCTCTGGAGAATGAAAGGCAGAAGTGAGTCAAATAATCAAGGGATCAAATAATCTTGGAAGCAATCATAAAATCTTTCCTTGGGCCTTAATGTCAGTGCAGTCAAAAGCAGAAACTGATCCCAACTCTGAAAATCTTGGCAGAGCAGCAGCGTTAAGCTTCAGCTTGACAAGGATGTATATATTGTGTCAGATTTAAAATGTTGTCTCAAACTTGAATAAGATTTTTTTTTTTATATTGCTGCTTTTAGGCTTTGTAGAACAGATATTTCTGTTGGTATTGCAGCATATTACATCAGTGTGCAAAAAAGGTTTACCCATCTTTATTCACTGTCATAGATTTTTTTTTTTAATCATTAACTTATATTACCTGTTTAAAAGTTGATAAGACTAAAAGACTGTGTTTCTAGCTGCAAAAAGCTGGAGAAACATCTTAATAGAGATTGCCCAATTTGCTATGTGTGGAGCTGTTAAGTGTGCCCTTGTAGCACCAAAGCAAGTCATAAATTAGATTAAATGTCATCCTTATCCAGTGGGGCATTCCTTTTCTCTGATTAGGCTGGTCATTATGTTGTGTTCCTCTGCTTCTTGAGACAGTGTGCAGGTAGTTTGTAAAATACTGTGTGTGTTGTCTGCCATTTTTGTAGGATCTTCTCAGCTTCTCAAATGCATCTATCTTGACTAGAAAAAAGAAGAGGTGCTCTTTCAGAGGGAAGTGATAATTTGATAATGCTGGGGTTGTTGTGGCTCTTCTAAAGCATTGTGTTGCAGAAATGTCATATTGTTAAAAACAATCATGTCCTCAACAGTGCCAGTTTGGGAGAGAGCTCTTACAATTGTGGCAGAGAGCTTGAATATGTCTTAGTATTTTAATATGGTAGTGCTTTGCCAGAAATCCTGATGTTGTTCCATGACTGGACTGCTTGTCACATAGGTCAGATAATGTCATCAAGAATATATTCATTCTTAGTGATTCCCCCCACCCCACTTTTTTTATAAATGGTTTTATGGTAGTTCCCCCTTTGAGGGAGGGGTTACTGCACTGGCAAGTTTGCTTGTCTTCTGTTTGCTTCCTAGTTTTTGCTGACTGCCTCTGACCTCTTGGTTCTGCTTTTGCCTAGGTGTAGTATTTTTCAGATTTGTAAAGATCATTTTCCTGAGATTTTCTTCTCTGGACAAAATCCTCTGTGTCTGTATATGCTGTTCCTCCATGCTGTACTGTTTTTTTGTTCTTGCTTTAGAAGTCGTTCAAATAATAGGACACATACAAGTGCACAAACCAAACACTTTGGTTTGGTATGTAAAATGTGTGGTTTTGCTCTGGTGGTGGTTTTGAGACTGGGAAAAGTAACGTGCTAACAGTTTACTTCTCGTTGTTACATACTGTCTGGAATAGGATAAGAGACTAGAAAAGAAACTTTTCTTTGCAGGTTTTTACCATATTAGATTGTTACAAGAAAGCCACTGCTAGTGAAGAGTGGGAGTATTCACCCCATCAGATCATTGCTGTTGGAACTCATTGGAATAAACACATAGCACACTTGATAAAGGAGTTCATGAATGATCCTTATGTTGTGATAACAGCAATGGAAGAAGCTTCCATCTATGGGAATGTGCAACAGGTAAAAATTTGGGTATGATGTCACTTTGTTTACTAAGATGTTTTGCTGTTTGTACTGATCAAGGTCAGTATAGGTGGTTGCTGATAGTTTAAGTGGGTAGTGCTGCAGTCCTAACTCAGACTGTTCAGGTGCACCTTCCACATATGAACTGAAGTGACTCTTGGAAGACCTCTGCAGGTTAGTCACTGGAAAAGTTGAAGGTGTTTTGCCTTCCTTTGTAGGACTAATGTGAAGATATTCCCTCATGCAAGTGAGTCTGAATTTTATGTGAAGTATATGCAAATGGTACAGTTTATGACAAGAATTTTGCTGAGTGTTTTTACACTTGTTAATTTTGTAATGGCTAATCAGGCAACGGCAGAACTACAGGGTAAGTTATCCCAAGACAGAGCTCATAAAATACTTGTTTTACTGCTGTGTGCAACACAATACAGAACTTGACTTAAATTTTCAGAAAGTTATTATATGTTCTTAAGTGTCTTCTCATTTAATTTCCAGTCAATGTGGTGTAGCCCTTAAGAGTAATACAAAATACTGTAAGTGTGATCTGAATTTTTCTCAAAATGTAATAATTTTGAGAATACGTCATATTACATATCGCAAAATGTAATAATTTAGGGATTGAGAATCTTGGGGAATCCCTAAGACTAAGTATTCTGAGCATGTCATGAAGTTGAAAAAACACCACTTTTTGTGAGAAGTCTAAATAATGGTTAGACAAGACTGAAAATGTCAGTGTTTTGATGCTTTTCAGTTATTAAGAGTATTTCAGGTGGTACAGAATGCTATTCTGTGTGCAAGAGGGTGTGAGGCTTTTTTAGTGGCACTTGAAAATGCCAAATTCAGATTTGTAATTCACCTAAAACTAAATTAATCAAAATCCCACAGTAAGGTTTTTATTATGTGATGAATTTTAATTATACATATATCTAGGAGAATTGAATCTTAAAGACAAGATGTGCCACTTACTGCAGCTAGCATTTACTAGGTTCTCTTTGGTAATGTGTAACAATGCTTAATGCTTATTAAAAGGAAGAATTAGTAAAATATGTATAGATTACATTACTTACCAGCCCTCTGTTTTGTATCTATTTTTAGGTTGTGCAGCCTTGTGTGAACAGTGAGAGAATTTCTGTGTTACTCAAAATACTGGATTTTACCCACAATAATCCTCAGAAGGTGCTGGTATTCACTAATTCAGTAAATGAAGTAGATGCAATTCATGAGGTAAGAAAGCATTTAAGTAGAAAAGTGTTTGGGTCTTTTTTAATTGCCACAGTGTAACAAACTAAAAATACCTTGTCTTCTGAGAATAAAGGAAGAATGTGAATTTGAAAGTTAATTATTTCTGCTAAACATAGCCCCAAAAGCTGCCCTTTTGCCAAGCAGAGGAAAGCCTGACAGACAGTAATGTCTGGCAGAGAATGCTTCATTATTCATTTCTTCACTATGTTCTGTCTGTCAGACTGGAACTTTGAGTTGACTGGACAATCTTTTCAATTGAAAGTTCTGACAGTTTTCTTAATTTTATTTACTCTTTCCAGGAGTGGTATGGGAAAACTTAAGCCACCATATTAAGAAGTTCTGTTTTGTTGCTTTCTCCTCTGGAGTATTTGAAATTGTAGTCAACTTTCTCTGATTTGAAAAAAACATTTCTGTCATCCTCTGAAAGTTCTACCAGAATTCAGTTAAGATTCAAGTTATAGGATGTTGGGAGGAAGATAGCATGTTTAACATGTGTTTTCTTAAAAGCTGATATAAAACTGCCACAGAGTTACCTGCAATATGCTCCATTTTTACACCTTTTTTGTAGAACGATATAATCAGCATTTCAGGGATGGAGATTAAGACTCCTGCAAGTGTTCTTCAGACATTGTAGCAATGAAAACATGTAACAACATAGCAGTAAAAAACAATCTTTCTGCACTTTGTCTCTACTAGTTCTCTAACAGTGCAAAGTAAGAGGAGTGCAATCTGATTTGACTGGGAAGCAAGACATGGGAAGCAGTTCTGTTAAGACTAAATAGGGTGATGCTGGTGATGGGGATGATGTTGCTAAAGGCGGCAAGCTATGAGAGTATTTTGACTTAAAATTTTCAACTGTAGTTCAGGGATGGGATAGCAAAAGGATATGGACTGGATTGTTTAGATGTCATAAGAAGACATGTCAGTCCTGAAACATGGAATGCATTCCCTTCCAGACGCTGCAGTAGATCCTGTGATATTTAAAGAATTATTCTTATGTAAATGTTGATGTGTTTAGAATGTTTGATCTTTGACTATAGTTAATGGAAGCAAATGTGGTTTGTCTCACAACTTTGACATGTTTTCCTTGAATATTTGGTGGTTAAGTTCTTCAAGCATATCAAAACCAACCCCACCGCTGCATAAAGAGAGTGCTTGCTGATGCTAAATAAGCATTGAAGCTGTTGATAGTAATCCTTGTGTACATCAACTTCGAATATCTTAAATAATCTACAAAAATATTTTGTTTAGTTCATTAGACATGCCTGTTTATCAGATAATGATTTTGTAGTGATTAATTTGTAAGCATTGAACTAGAGAAATACATAAAGCCTTTGAGAATACTACATTCATGCAAAGTAAGTATGGGTAGATCAGTGAGGAGCTTTTAGTGCTTTTTCTGAGAGACTGAAACATGAGCCTGCATGTTGTTAGAATCTGCTTAGAGAGGACACCTTAGTGGTGGGAAAAGCTTATGTTTAATATATTAAACCATAGAAACCTGAGTTTTTAGTTTGTTTTTATACAGGAAATTAATATAAATCTCCATAATCTTGAAATTTTCTTTTCATATTAGCAACCTGCATTTCACACTTTTACATGTCTTTTTTTTTACAGTAGCTAAGGTATGCTAGATACTAGTAAGATATACTGTTTATTAGAGTTTTAGAGCAGTTACTGCTGGAAAAATGTGTACCTTTTTACTTTGTCATCCAGGCACTGAAGAGCAACTCAATATTTTCCTTGAAAATACATAAAGAGAGCAATTCCAAGTATGTCTTAGAGCAGTGGACAGAAAAGTATAATTCTGGCAGTCCTGTTCTGCTAGGTGAGTGTTTTTGTCTAGTTGTGATTATGTCTTCATGGTCTCTCATGGTTCTGCACTAAGTATTTAACACTAGGTTATTTCATCACCTCCACAGGGTCAGTTCCCTGTGAATTCTTTCTACTTACCCCTCTACTTATTAGTGCTACAGCTGATACAGCTAGTCTTCTTTTCCTTTTTTTTTTTTTAATTTTCTTTTTGTTGTTTCTGTGTCACAGGGTTAACTGCTTAGAGCAAAAAACTTTATTTAGTAGAGGAAATGTAAAGAGGGAGGGTTTTAAGCATTAGCTAACAGAACTACTAGTACTTTCAAAGAATCCCCATGATTTCACAATTATCTCGTACTACAGAGGATATTTCCATTGGAAATCATTTAGCAACTCTAAAGACTTCCTGTAATAATTTCCCATACGTTCTGGTGGAATTGTATTTTGTATTTTTCAGGTTGTTTACAGTAGCAAAATTTTTTACCCACTTTAAAACTTAATTTTTATCATGTTATGCATCAAAAGCAAGAAGATTGACTTACGTCTGCTTTGCAGGTTCATACAAAACAAAAAATGTTAGCATTCCGGCATTACGTAAAGTGTTTTCTGTCTTACTCTTGTGAAGTACTTGGCTGTGGGCAGTTCTGTTTATTCTGTGATATTGATACAAGATACAGAATTATGCTGGATTATTAGAGACACAGTTGTATCTGTCATACACTTACGAAATGTACTGACTGAGGAAGTAAAATGCTTTATGTAAGTGTATTGGGAAAAGGCCTTTTCAGTCAGTGCGTGGGGAGAGGGAACAGCCATTGTTAATGTAACACTTCAGGTGCTTTAAGTACTACAGTTACCTTACTTATGTGTATAAAATATCTGCTTAGTCTCAACAGATGACTGCATGCAGTCTTTGGGAATTACAGATGCAACTTGTGTGATACATTTCAGTTTTCCTTCTTCAAGAATCTTTGGTCAGCGTCTACACAGCATGTCTGACAACTTCTCTAATGTGAGTAAATCTTTAACAGGTGAAGAATACATTTGGTTATTAAGTGGTGGATACATAAAAGTTTTTTAAAAATGCGGTGGTTTTTTTGGTTTTGGTGTTTTTTTTTTTATAGGATTCCTCTGCAGATCAGGAACATACAAAGGCAAGGTCAGTCATTTTACTCACAGAAAACAGTGACTGTCATGCACTTGGGATCCTGCGCTTTTTGCAGCATGCAGAAGCTGAAATTCCACCAGAACTGCATGATTTTACTGCCAAGATGCTAGAAGCTGAAGAAGATAAGAAATCTTCAAGGCCACTGTGTGCCTATCTTAAAACATTTGGGATTTGCAAGTAAGGAAATACACAGTTTTCTTGAAAAACGTACCAGTGCAGAAGGGCATTGTACACCCTGGGTGATGACTGCTTCTATTGCCTTGATTAATTTTCCTGTTGGATATTTTTATTCAGACCAGGTTTTGCTCAGTATTTTCTGTTGCATCTGTTTCACTTCTCAGGCACCTGCTTAAATGTACTTGAGGGAACTTTAACCGTTGTTTTGGTTAGTATTTTAACAATAATTGTATGAGGTTTATGCTTTACTCTCTTCCCTGTTGTCTTCTGTCCCTCCAGGAGTGGGTAGGTAGATAATGACTTCTCTGAGTTGTAACTCGACTGTAAGTAGTGCCAGAAGGAAGAAGCTAGTGTGTTCTCCCATGTTACTTCTAGCATAGATAACTGTTGTTGCAAGTTACAAAAAATACAATGTTAGTGTTTACTTTGTTCTGAAATAAGTTTTCTGGTGGTTTTTGTTATGTAGACTTATTCACCAAGAATTTTTTGGCTGTTTCTGTTTAATCCCCAGAGTTATGGCTGCTATTTGAGACAGAAATTGAATATTGAGGACTGATGAACTTTGTGTTTTAAGCCATTGTAAATCACATCAAAATGCTTTAAAACTGAAGAGAAAGAAAAAAAGGTTTTCTTCTAAACCCGTGTTTTTAATACATAGGAATAGAACAGCTTGTCCAGATCGTCATCAAATTAATATGCAAATGGATATACCCCAGAATATACCTGATAAAATTCTACAGGCACCTGGATGTGTGACAGTAAGTTACTATTTTCCTTGGTTTTAGGTACCAAGAAGACTGATCTTAAGTACCTATTTGCATATGACTTTTTGTATTATATTAATATTGCTGTAGTACATATACTATATGTTTTGAATATTTGTTATAACTGAGCCTTTTTCTGTTTCTCCTCGCATAAATAAGGGTACCAGACTTCTTACTTTACCTCAGGTTTTCTTCTGCATTGAGAAGATGGGTTTTCTTCTGTGGGAAGATGGCTTATGTCCTTTTTATTCCTTCCCTCTATAAATTGAGATCCTATATCAGAATTAACAAAGGTTAACATTCCTGTGAATTTCTATTACGTTTATGGTAGAGGAAAAGAAATTTATCTTTTGGAGCAAAGTGGAAGATGATGTGTGTTTTGTTGGAACCGAGGAATTTTTTTCTTGGCTCATCTGTTCTTGCAGACTTGCTGAAAAACAAGCATATGCTGGTCTTGTCATTTGAAAGTAGCATTTTCATTTGCAGTATCCGCAGAAAATGGGATACTGCAAACTGGATAAGCTCTTTACTTACCTTCTAGATGGAGCAGTTATTGCCTACTCTTGCAAGTAATAGAGGAGCCAACAAAAAGAGGTGCCATGCTTGACCTCATGCTCACCAACAGGGAAAGGCTGGTGGGGAATGTGACACTCCAGCAGCAATCTGGCTGCAGCAATCATGAGATGGTGGAGTTCAAGATCCTCAGACAGTGAGAAGAGCATGCAGCAAGCTCACTGCCCTGGACTTCAAGAGAGCAGACTTTGGCCTCTTCAGAAACCTGCTCAGTAAGGTTCCATGGGATAAAGCCCTAGAGGGCAGGGGGGCTCAAGTCTGCTGGTTGATATTTAAGGATCACCTGCTCCAAGCTCAGGGATGTTGGATCCTGACTAGAAGTAAATGGGGCAGGAAGCCAGGAGGCTTTCACAGCAGGAGCTGCTGTGAAAATTTAGAAGGAAAAAGGAAGCTTATAAAAGGTGGAAGCAAGGACATGCAGCCTGAGAAGAATACAGGGACATTGTCCAGGAAGCTAGGGATCAGGTCAGGAAAGCTAAGGCGCAGCCAGAATTGAGTCTGGCAAGGGATGTGAAAGATAACAGGAAAAGGCTTCTATAGGTATGTCACAAAAAAAAGACAGACTAGGCATAATGTGGGCTCTCTCCGGAGACAGAACTGGGAGAACTGGCTACCCTGAATTTGGAAAAGGCTGAGTTTCTCAATGACTTCTTTGCCTCAGTCTTCAGCAGCAAGTACTCTGACTCTACTCAGCAAGTAGTTCTGCAGAAGTCTTGGAAGGCAGATGCAGGAACTGTGAGAATGAAGACCTAAGGCCTGTGGTAGGGGAGGATCAGGTTAGAGATCATCTGAAGAGCCTGAGTGTGCACACGTCCATGGGATCTGATGAAATCCATCTGTGGGTCCTAAAGGAACTGGTGAATGAAATTGCTAAGCCACTGTCTACCATATTTGAAAAATCGTGGCACTCAAGTCAAGTTACTGACCACTGGAAAAAGGGAAATATAACCCCTTTTTCAAGAAAGGGAAAATGAGACTTGGGTTACTACAGACCAGTCAGTGTCACCTCTGTGCCTTGCAGAATCTTGGTGTAGGTTCTCCTGGAAAGGATGCTAAGGCACATGGAAAACAATTAGGTAGCTGGGGACAGCCAACATGGCTTCACTAAGGGGAAATCCTGCTTGACCGATTTGGTGGCCCTCAGTGATGGGGCTAAGGAACTGGTGGATAGGGGCACAGCAGTTGATATTGCTACTTTGTCTTGTGCAAAGTGTTTGACACTGACCCACACGACATCCTTGTCTTTAAACTGGAGAGACATCAATTTGATGGATGGACCACGTGATGGATAAAGACTTGGCTGGACGGCCGCACGCAGGGAGTTCTGGTCAACAGCTCAATGTCCAAATAGAGATAGGTAACAAGTGGTGTCCCTCAGGGGTCGATGTCGGGACCCATCCTGTTCAATATCTTTGTTAGTAGCATGGACGGTGGAATTAAGTGTGCCCTCAGGAGGTTTGCTCATGACTCCAAGCTGTGTGGTTCAGTTGATGCACTGGAGGGAAGGAGTGCCATCCAGAGGGACCTGGACACACTTGAGAGGTGGCCAGTGCCAACCTCATAAAGTCGAACCAAGCCAAGTGCAGGGTCGTGCACCTGAGTCAGGGCAGTCCCAGGCACAGCTACAGGTTGGGCAGAGAAGAGATTCAGAGCAGCCCTAAGGAGAACTTCGAGGTGTTGGTTGACGAGAAACTTAACATGAGCTGGCTTCAGTGTGCGCTCACAGCCCAGAAACGAGCTGTGTCCTGGGCTGCATCAATAGGAGTGTGACCAGCAGGTTGAAAGAAATGATCCTGCCCCTCTGCTCTTGTGGGACTCCACTTGGATTACTGTATGCAGTTCTGGTGTCCTCAGCATAAGGATATGGAACTGTTGGAACAAGTCCAGAGGAGGGTCACAAGGATGATCAGGGGACTGGAGCACCTCCTATATGAAGACAGGCTGAGAAAGCTGGGGCTAATCAGCCTGCAGAAAAGAAGATAGTGGACACCTCAGAACAATATCTGAAGGGGGCCTACCAAGGATGCTGGAGAGGGACTCTTCATCAGGTGTTGTAGTGCTAGGACAAGAGATAACGAATTTAAACAGGGGAAGTTCAAGTTAGATGTAAGGAAGAAGTTATTTACTGTGAGGGTGATGAGGCACTGGAATTGTTCAATGCTTCATCCCTGGCAGTGTTCAAGGCCAGGTTGGGCAGAGTCTTGGAAGGTATGGTCTAGTGTGTGGTGTCCCTACCCATGGCAGTGGGTTTGAACTAGATGATCTTAAGGTCCTTTCCAACCTTAACTATTCTATGATTCTATACTAAGATGTCAGTGCTTTTTGAAATTCATTCTGAGACACTGTTGTTCTAACTGGGCCTTACTGGTTTTTTTTAAGTTTTGCAGTCATGAAACCATTGTAGTTACTGCCTTGACTTTGCTATGGTGGTTCTTCACATGCCAGTGATAGTTTGTATCTCTAGCTCCCTTTGCCTGGCTTTTAGGTCCCTTCTGTACTGGAGTGTCTTCCGGTACAGTAGTATTGTACAATCTCTCTCTCCTTGTTGGGTGATGATTGCTGAGGGAAAGCATGTAGATGTCCTTCCAAAGTTTTAGCCCTTGGGTCTAAGGTGTGCTGGATGCCTTTTTTCCTGTCCTGTCTTCTGCAGAATTTGTGTGCCTTTATGTCATGCAGTTAATGGGTGTTATCCATTCCCAAAAGTCACAGGTTATGAGAACAGAAAATAAGGAGAACTGGGTGGATTCTTTAGTGTCAGTCCATTTCTACCTAATAAGCTATTGTTGAAGTGAGTTTTCAAACCCTTTGACAACCTACATGTATCTGGTTTTAGTGCCTGAGACCAGGACAGGTTTCATGACACTGTTGCTAGAAACATGCACTTACATGTGGTGCCCTCAAGGCAGCAGGTATGACTTATGCTGTTTCTTCATTTAATTCTGAATTCAGAATTATTCCTGAATAATACACTGACAACTAAATCTTCTGAAATGTGTGTATGCAGCAGTATCTTTGTCTCCTCTTCAGGCTGGAGAGAGGTAAGTGGTCTTGAATATGACAGGTTAACGTGTCATATTTAATAAATTATGTAGTCCTTTGTTCTTCTCAGGTGTTTTTTGTTTTCAGATACTGCCTCTCCACATTGTAAGTGCAACAAATTACTTTGGTCGAATAGTAGATAAGGAAAAAGACCAATACACAATTCTTGCCAAAGAAATTAATGAGTATTTTGAGAACCCAAGTAACAGAATTTCTGTTAAAGAGGTGAAGGCACTAGCATTGTATGGATTATGTGAGAAAAGACTTTTTCACAGGTAAATACGTTGGGGGTTATTATCTGTGTCACTTTTTTAAACTCTCACTGTTTCTAGTTTAAAAAAAAGTAGGCCCACCTCCAAAATCAGGGAAAAGAATAGCTGCTACTCAGACCTTTAAAAACCTATTTTTAAGTTACTGAATGAAAAGCAGAATGACTACCCATGCATGTGCACACCCAGTTAAATGTTTTGCTATGAAAACGTAGTTTTCTGAATGAGTAGATTAAAAAACTTTTTGCAGCTAGTTAGATGAATAATAATACTGTGTTCCTTTTCCTACTGTGTGAAGGGTTCAGGTGTTAGAGATATATCCACAAGAAGAGGAAAATCTGTTCTTCAGTGTCAAAATTAAATATATAGATGAAGGCAGAGCAAGTCAAGGTCTGAGCTGTCAGCTGCTTCATTTGCCTGCAAGGTTTCAGTGCCTGCCACCTCAGGCTGTGGAATTTGTAGTTTGTAGAGTGAAACCCATTGATAAAGAAACTGAATGGAACCCAGAGGTAATATTTATGTTTCTGCATGGTATTTCCTTTGTTCTTTAATTTCTGTGCATTATTTTCTACAAGAAAACAGTAATGAACTGCAGACTTAGCTATCAAATCTCATTGCTTGTTAGTATTAGAAATAAGTATCTGCTACTGGACCAAATTCTAGTAAGTCACTTTTCTTGTTTGTTTTCCTACAAAATAATAAAGTGATGTTTATGGGGTTTTCTTCTCCAATTTAAATGGGTTTTTACAGAACTAGCTGTTGCTACTTTTGAATCTGGGGGGTGTAACAGCAGAAGAGTAGCCTCTGTAAATTGACCTGTGTTGGAGGTCCATTCTTCCATTAAGCAAGATCCCTCCTTAAAGGCTGATATTATTTTAACCTGTGGTAAAGTTGGAGTATTTCACTAGTTTACTCAAAAATCTTTTTATTTATTGAATATCCTTTTCATTGTTAAGCTCAGAAGATTGTTTCATTATAATTAAAATAAATAAAAATAATATAATTAAAATAGTTGGCATTCTCAAATACAGCGAAAACTTGTTTTTCATAGGTAACTCATTACATAAATCACAAAATCAAAGGAAAACTGCATGAAGCAAAAATAGTACATACCTTGGGAAATACAGCTTGGATTGACCAAATGGTAGGTATAGAACTGTACCATTACAAAATATTTGTATCTAAACTCCTTCATAATAAAGCACAACCCCTTCCTTCTGTCTTTGCCTATTTTAACTTTCTGTGGGGTATTCATGTGTTGGTCAATTTACTGTAATGGTGTCTGAGCCGTTGAACAGGCTGCAGACAGCTTGTAATATCTCTGTGTTTAGAGATACTCAGAAGCATCTGGGACTTGGTCCTGGACAGCTGACTCTAGGCAATCCTTCATTTTATGAACAAGATGTTCTGTGAGGAATTGGTATCAAAGATAGCTCAAAGGCAAATTGAGGCATTTTTACTTTGAACACAAATGTGGATAGGTTCCTGTTTGCAAATGAGCTGCTTATAAGTATAAATAAATGAGGTATGTTTAAAGCTTAGATTTGGAGAGACACCATTTATGAGATATGGTTTCCATTTAATATGCTTTGTCATTCAAGGTTCGCATAACCAGGCTGTCAGAGTTGAAGATAACAGCCAATGAATACAATGTTCGGTCTGAGATTTTGTCTACAGGTTTGGGAACTGACAATCCAGAACATATAACGCAACTTCAGAAGTTGTGTGGGCACCTGAAATTACTAGATCACACAGAGAACTTAGACTCTTTGTAAGTGTTTACAATTTTTTTTCAGCATATAGTTTAGTAGGGGAAAAAATTGCGTTATTTAACTGGGTATTTCGTTATTGATATTACTGAATGTGATTTTGATTTGAACACAGACTCTAGTATTTGTGATATGTCTGCTTTCCTTTAATTATTCTTTAGCCACATAAAACACAATCACAGAGTAGTTTGGGTTGGAAGGGACCTTAAGATCCTGCATCATGAAAAGAAAAACATAAACTCTAGAAAACATTTAAGTGGTATTTGATTCAGATATAATTCAGAAATTATTTTTAAGAAATACACTAAAGTTGAATTTGCTGTGTTGTATTTTACCTGGCCTCAAATAATTGTTGAGTTGAAATTACTCAGAAAAGCTGATAAGCATTTTCTAAAGGTGAAGTGATTAAAGGTATTTCTCATTTAGGACTAAAATTACTTCAGTCTTACCTACTTTGGAGGTAAATTAATAAGATGTGTTGGTTCTGAATAAAGATGGCTGCACGGGTATTTAATACTGAATCTTCAATATGAATTAATTTAGAAGTATGTATTTATGTGAACTGAAACATTAAGTGGTAGCTTACTAGACTGGTTTTGGTTGTCTTATGCCACTGGGTGTTTGGAGGTGATGGAAGGAGATTTCACTTGAACAGATGATTCAGTGTTTCAAAAATAATGTGGTGCTGTGTTCTAAGTAATGCTTTGACAGTGAGGTCCAAGGCTGTTGCTGGTCATGGTGCCTATCTCTGAGCTCTCAAGTAAATTGACTCTGTTGCAGTGTTTCATTTTGCTTTAGCCCAACTAGTGGCTGTACAGCTCCAAAGCCATAGGTCTGTGGCTGATAAATTCAGAACTTTGAGTATTCTGAAATCTTTACTTTTCCAAAATTAGAATGAAACATGACCCAGAAGCCCCCAAAACTACTGGAATTCTTTGTGAAAGGGAATCATTCTACTGTCTACGACTGTCACACACACGAGCATCAATAGACTTGTTTCAGATGAAATGCTAGTACCACCAGGATTTTAAATGTTCTCCTAGCTCAGATTTCTGTATAAATGCTTCTTTCTGAATTACTGACATTCAGCAACCCTGTGGTGATATTTATAGGTTGTAGAAGTGCATTTTGTCAGGGATTTTTATATGTATTAAAATGAAAAACTTCGAAAGGATTTCCAGCTATGATTAGGAATCCTTTAAATCTTAAACATATTTAAATATTTTCATTTTAAAATGTATTTTTCTGTGTTCAGAAGCATAAAGGAGGATACAGCTGATCCAGAGAACACGTCCAATGCAGAAAACATGTCCAATCCACAGAACATGTCAGCACAAGAAAACTCTACAGAAAACTGTAGTTCTTCTAAGATTACTTTCAGGACTCACTCAGGTGGTAAACATTTTTAGGATTTCCAACAATTTTGAGACTTTAAGGATTGGGGCTTAAATGTCAACCTAGATGTCATATTACAAAGTGGGGACCTCTGTGGGTGTACAGAGTAGCGCCATGTAGCTAATGTTTAGAATAAGCCACAGATACCTTAGTATAGTTAGTAGCCTGGAGATGCTGCGAGAGTAAATCTCACTAATGTGGCTGTATTGCTATTTGGGGAACACTTACTCCTTGGGAGACTAAGAACTGAATGGAATGTGTAAGTAGGAAATCTCTCCTGTAGACAGGGTTGGCATTTTGCTGTCAGAAGCCATAGGGTTTAAGGAGGTTGAAATGTGTTGAAAGATGCTGGGAGCATTGTTCTCTGGGAGGTTGCTTTTAATTTTTCCAAGACTTAGGATGGCTGAAAAAGATTAAAGGGAAAAAAAAGCCAAAAGCTCAAGAATGTGGTACTCAGTCAGAGGCTTAAAAAAGCTCAGGGCTTTGTCAGTTGCAGGAAGGGGACCTTGCAGCAGTTGGTGCGTGAGTTTAGAGCAGTCAAAGCTGAGTGATTTTAAAATGTTGCAGCAGGCAAAATTCAAATAAGATCATGGAGTGCTTATCATAGAAAGCGTTTTTTCCTGGTGTAGTAGAGTGACTGTAATGCCATGTTGTAAGTTGTGATGGTAACAGCAGTATTAGTTGTTCCAACCCCGAAACTCCTAGTGTCTAAAATTACATGTTTTGGATTTCAAGTAAGTAATGTCTTGAAATGGGAAAAACCTTTACCTGACCTGAAAAACTGTACAATTGTGGTGGATTTTTTAAATTGTACCAGCCACAATACTCTTTTTAGTTAAAATTTTCAGTTGAATTATTAACTTTATAAAATCTTTCCAAATACCAGGTACCCAGTATAAATGGCAAATACGGTCTTGTGATAGTAATTTGCTTGCTAGCAAGCTATGTTTATGGTGGTACTGGAGTATTCTGGAAGTATCTGGTTTCTATAGTATAGATAAGTATAAAATATCTTTCTGATTTCTTTTTAGGTGGTGTACGTCAAAGTAAGGATGTAGAAGACACTACACTGCATCAGCGCCAATGGTACAAAAATTCAGAGTGATTTTTAATGTGAACTGCCAAACAGGACAGTCGTCCTTACTGAGATTAATCTGTTTTGTGAGTAAATAGGTATAATATAGGTAGAAGTATTCTGTTACCTCAGTGTTGAACTTGAGAGGTTGACTGTTGCTGTTAGATATGTATGTATACACACACATCTTGTGAATCCCTTAAGTAATTTCATTGCTCTTTAGCTTACTCCTGGAAGCTAACTTTATCTGTTGAAATTGTGTAATCTTTGATTAGGCATCACAGTACTAGGAATGAAAACAAAACACTCTTTAAACTCAGTTGATAGGTATAAATTCTGATTTGCACTTGTCTGGTTTATGTTCTAACCAAAGACTGGTCCTATCTGAATTACAGCTCGGATGCTTCTGTCTCTGCAGATTGGTATTTGATGGGATGAATCAGTTTTGTGTCTCCCCTTAATGTAATTCTGTTCCTAACAAAAAAGAAAACCAAACAAAAAAAACAACTGATTTTATTCTGAGAATGTCTGCAATGCAAAATTATGGCCCATTTCTTTTTCTCTTTGTTTTCTGCTTTGCGTTTGTTTTGTTCTGATTGGAAGTGGATCCATTATCCTTAACCCTTTGTGGATAGGGCAGTTTCTGTTGTTAAGTAATTTGAGCAGCATGCAGTAGAAATGAATGCTAAGTTTAAGTTTAGATTTATTTATGATTGGGAGTATGCCAAGAGAAGTCTTAAGTGTGGTTTGTGGGCAAAGTCAACTGACAGTGGATCCTGAGAAATGTGTAAGTTTCTCACTTTGGGACTAGGCAGTGCTTCTTTTTGGTGGCTTACAGTTTTTCTTCTGTTAATGCTAGTTACGGGTGACTAACATTTTCTTGTGCAAGGTTCAAAAATATTTTATGTTTTAGCCTATTGGAAAAGTTCTTGTTGATAGGGTGATTGATTGCGTTTAGCTGTATCTCCTGCAGCTTGGCTAGAACAGTTGCAGATCTTCTCCGTTATGCAATAACACCTTGAGATACAAGGTAGCAGTTAAATAAATGAGGGTTTGGATGTGACTGAGGGCATGATAAGGGAAGTAATCTTAATGAATGGATATTACAGTCTATTAACAAGATTTATCTTTTGCTGGTTAAAACCTTTCAGTGTTTGGAGGAAGATTGAGGCATAACAGCTGTAAAACAAGCAGTTGAAAATATTGATGAGATGTATATTCATGTCTGTAGTCAGTTGAAAAGTTTGGTTTGTCTTTCAGAGGTTGGTCTTGCTACTGTTACTGTTTCTTTTGTTGTTTCAAGATCAGACTATGATAGCGTCCTTAAGTGGGGCAGTAAATTTGATTCCTGTAGATATCAAAGTTAGTTAGGTTTCTCCCCCTACTTGGACTAGTAGATGTGCTTCTCCAGAGACAGATCACACTGCTTTAGTAGCGGGCTTGACTGATACCCTGTCATGTACTTTTCTGTCACTTCTATTCATCTGAAAATCAGCTAGTTGCTTGCAACCTAGTGGGAAAGTTCTAGCTTATGCAAAACAGTTTCTCTGAGACTTGGGTTTTTTTTTTCTATTTTGGGAAAAAAAAAATCCAATTATACTTTCTTTATTTTAGTTTTCATCCACAAATAAAGTGGTTTCAAAATGAAGAGACGGTTACAGTGAAAGTAGAAATAGCAAGCACAGCTGACCATAAATGTGAGTTCTCTAAAGAGAAGGTGATTTTCAGGTAGGTTTAACAAATCTAGTATAATTACTAAATGTTTGACTGTCAGCTTGCATTTAATATTTTTAAACTTTTTTTTATGATGTAGTGCTTGTTCAGGAGACAAATTTTATTTGGCTGACATGGAGCTGCATCAGCGTATACTTGCAGAAAAGTCTACATGTGTGATAAAGGATAAAGAGGTTGTTATTATTCTTGTGAAAGAGCAAAAAGGATCATGGTGCAAATTACTGAAGAATAAGGTGAAGTGGAAGTTAATTTGAGAGTTACTGTGTATTCTGAACATACTGAACATTGGCCACTGTGTGCCAATGGAAGTATTTCAAACAATGTTTTTGTCAACAGAATAATCATGTGTCTCTTGATTTTGAACACTGGGAAGATTGTGAAGATGACAGCCCTTTTCCAGGTGGTAAGGAATGAACAAGTTGGTGTTTATAATGCATGAGATGATTAGCATCCTCATTTCTGCATAGGTTTTATCTCAAATATTCTTTTATTTCAGTTATATATGACATTTCACTTGCTCAAACTCTCTGAAAACAGATGAGAGGACCGCTGATAGCAAACTGTAGACAGGAGAGTAATTTTCTGTCAGAATAGCACGGACAAGCAGTTTAAAGTAGTTTTTAGTGGTTTGGAGTAGTTTGTAGTTTAAAGTGTGATTTTACTGTTTTGGTATTCTTTTTTAATACTGCTACATATTGGTTTTGAAGTTTTTAATTTTTTCTTGCTTTATAAATGTTACACTTTGATAATTACTTCTAGGTACTAAAAAAGTGTATTGCACTGGTGCAGTATCAGAAGATTTGGTTGACTCCTCAGAAGTCAGTGGAACAGAAAGTGATGACTAATTTGGATACAGTTTTTTTTCCTGTGATAAGAATTATTCTTCAAAACAGTTGCTTGCATGAATATTTCCAGTAAAATTGATAAAAATAAATGCATAAGTTGCAGAACTGTCCTTCATTTTAGGAGGAAACTAGTGAATAAACTAGCCTCTGGGCTCTGAGAACCTAAAGAAGTACTCCTTAGAAGAACATTACATATGTGTTCTGGTGCCTTCACTTTAAAATCGTTGGCTTTAATGTAAGTGTGCTGTCTAAACAGTAAAATCTAAAGAATTGGTTGAATTTATTAGGAATTAAATTTACTTGGGTTGAATTTATTAGTAATTACAGAGCTTCTGGTTTACTTTGAGTGAATTTGCTGTGTTAGCTGTAGTTAGTAATTTGCCAAAGTTTTCAAAGTTTTTAAAATTTGAGTATGTCAGTTATTTCTACTATATTCATACTATTCATATGTATCAGCTTGTTGGCAATCATCACATTTGTCAGTTCCGCATGAAGAAATTACACTGCAATTCCAGCAGCAGTTTTTGTTACTTCATTGGATATATGTTGACTTGGTATCAAAGATTGTACAGTGCGGTTTGCTATAGTAACTGCTGCAAAGCTTCTGTGACAGTAAATTTAGTATTTGTTTGACATTTTGATTTCTTACGAATGCTCTTACTTTTTTCCCTCTGAATTTATCTGAAAGTCGTTTCTACTATGCGAATGAACAATAAAATCTTGTCTGTTTAGCCTAAGGCTTTGCCTGTTTATATACCATCTTCCAGTAACTAATTGTCACTGTTAGATTTGTGCACATTCATTGCAGTAAAGTAGTCATGTAAAAGAAATACATAATAAATTAATCTGGTATTGATCTCTTTGCATCTCTAGATTTTAAAGCATGTTGTTTTCCCTGATGTAACTATATGGTGATTTAGAATAGAGATGAGAATTTACATGTTTATTTAAAGAAGCCTGAAACATTGGGATGCCTTTACTTCAGGAACAGGAGAAAGACTGTATCAATGCATTTATAGAATCGTAGAATAGTTAGGGTTGGAAAGGACCTTAAGATCATCTAACTCCAACCCCCCTGCCATGGGCAGGGGCACCTCACACTAAAATGACAGTCTATTTTTCTACTTATGCTGACAATTTTTTTAATATTAGCATATAATAAAGCTGCTTCTTTAAGAATATTAAGAATATTGTTGATGCCAGTAGAAAACCATCATGTGACACAGAAAGTTGTTAATGTATGGTTTAAAAAAAAAAGTGCTGTTGGAGGAACCTGATGATTACTGAGCTTACTTAAAACCTTCACCTGTGTACAGGTACTTGGAAAGCTGTAATTGTTGTAGAAGTACTTAGGGAAATAGCTAATGTAACTGTGTTTTGGTCTTGCTCTGTGTTGTGGTGCAAACAGAAGACTGTCAAATCACCTAATTGAAAAATGGAGCCATGAGGCTGGATATTTTTCTTTGACTTGTCCCTTAATAGGATGATGGTCCTCAGATGTTGTTGAAAGGACTTGTGCTTTCAGTATGAAGTCTTTCTCAAATTAATTACATCAAAATACTGATAAGTGTCTTGATAAAATTCCTTTCTTTATCCATTTGCACAGAGTGAATATAGGAGCAGTGTTACCTAGAATCTGTCTACACTTTTCTCAGCAGGGGAAGCGAAAGCTGCTTAAATCTCTATGTTAATGTAGTACTATTTTTGTATTTTTTCATCAGCTACCAAATAGTGTTCCTAGGATGGTGAAGTTACCTTTGTAAAGTCATGATGCTGACAGTAATTGTTTTAATTAAAAAAATAAAATCACCCTCTTCCTGTCAACTGTGCTTCCCATTTTCATTTGATGCTCACCTCCTCAGTCTTCAGTTTTTTGATAGCTAGTGTCTGGTCTGAGAAAACTGAGAACAGTTAGCCTTGGTTTACGTTACTTCTGTCCTTCCTGTGTGGTCTGTTGAATGTGATGCTGATTTCAGTGTGATCAAAAGCATCTTGGCTATGCTGCTAGTAAGTTGCCATCTTCATAATTGAGAAGTTCCCCTTGTTTTCTGCATTGGCATTACTCAAAATAAGATACAATAATATACATGTGAAAAATGGAAACAGCTCTGCTGGACACTATAATCTGGCTCAGAAATCTTTTATTCTTGCATGTTTAACATTTTTCAAGTACTAAAGTGTTGCAAAAACAATACACCAGTATGAACACAATTTTAGAAAGTATAAATGTGTGCAAAACTCAAGTGAATCTCCTTTAACCACTCAAAAACAACAAAAAAATACACTATTCAGTAACTTCTTCTGCTGGAACAACTTCCAAAAGCATCTGAAGGTGCATAGTGATGGGCTCTGAGGGGAGAAAAGTTACTGTTAGAGGCTTATGAGAACAGTATTTCTATTCAGACTTGTACTATTTTCCGAAGAAAATTTCCTGAAAAAAATGATCATTGTGAGTAGTTGTCTGTGTTTTCTGTATTCATATCTCAAAATACAAGGGATGGGGAGTAAAAACCAGATTCAAGATGCAGCATTGTAGGATTTCTAGACTTTGCATTTAGGGTACAGTGCTTCTGATCGTATAATTATGTAATATTTAACAATAGTGGGGGGCAGGAGAGACAGGGATGGATATTTTTCACGTCTTTAAAACTACTAATTCTGCCCTTTTAAGCTGGTTCCCCTTTCCCTCTCATAAGTATTTGTGTATCCTGGTATTCCATAGATAATTGCAAAGAGTTTCTCCTGAGATTACACAAAACACGTTTTATAAATGGTCACGCTGGGTTCTTGCAGGTTTCACTTTACTCAGCAGCACTGTCATTAATTTCGGTCTTAAATGTTCTTAACATTTTCTTCAGTGAGTATAGTGAAATTGCTAGCTTGAGCTCAAAGCGGTCTTTTGTGGCATGAGAATGTATGTCTCCTAATCCTTAGTTAATGGCTAAAGCCAGTGTTTCAAAATGTGGAGAGTCGAACTAACTTTACAGATAAAATAATTCTGTTCCTTTTAAGTCAGTTTCTTCATGCTACTAAAGATACGTATTTCTTTTTTGTAAATGAAGTTTCATTCTTCTTGAAGCCAAACCACTTTTTTTCAGAGGAAGGAGTAAAAATACACCCCCCTTTCCACACCCCAATCATGATTCAGATGGGATGGCCTATTTAATGAGCTTCAGCAGTTAATCAAAAGCTTAGAAGTACTGTTTTGAACTTGGAGCTGGCTATGTGAATTATACTTACTTGATATTTTTTGGGGCCAGTTGAATTTAAAATAAACAAAAAGTACATAAACTATAAGTCCACTACCTATAAATAAAACACAGTACAAATAGGCCAGTTCAGGTGCACTGATGACTGGTGCCAATATCAGTAAAATGGAGGCTAATGTCACTGCGACTGGAATGATGGTTGGTATCTGCAAGATACAAAGCACAAAATTACTTGTTCTTTTGCTGTTCTTAAAGTTGCATGTATGGAAGAATAATTTCATTGCCTTATGCATATTTTCCTTTCGAAATTTCCAGCATCAAATGGGGCAGTAGAGTAGCAAGAAGGATAGGGAAAACTCTTTTCCTATATCGTTGACCAAGTTCTCTTTGCCTAAATGGCAAACAGAAGTGTAAAAATTTGTATTTTAATGTATCTGGGGCCCTGACTCAAGTGAAATGACCTGGGGTCTTAATCTGGGTACTCTTTCAGTGGTAGTCTGCTGACTAATTGTTTCCCATTCCTGAAAACCTTGCAAACGGATGTTAAATATGCAAATATTTAGGATGAGGTTGTGTTTCATTATTTCTGGGAATGGAGGAAAAACCATTTTGAATGCTGAACTTACCTTGACTGGTCTCTTGAGGTCTTTTCTTGTAAACCTCATAACAATGAGTGCAAGGACAGTTAAACCGTAAAATATCCAGATTGCAAAACTGCAGTAATTTATTAGTGTGTCAATGTCACCGGGGATAATATAAATAATAGCAACGATCCCCTAAAAATGAAAAGAAAAATGAGTATAGTCTACTGTAAGAGAAGGCTGAATTTTACTTGTGTCAGTATGGATGATGATCTGTGAATGCTTTTCCTTAAACTTTTGGGTGTAAGTGTATTGCAAGCACCTTTAAAGATAGTGTCCACATCCTGCTAACATAATAGTATTTGTATGCAATCTTAATTACATTTTAAATCAAGACTTAAAATTTGAATGCATTAGTCTGTTCTGTTGTTGACTGTGTATCTAGGAGTAAGTGAAGATGCTAAATACATTTTTAGGTTATTACGGTTACTGGGAGTCAACAGCAATTGAATTTTCAACTTATCTTGGTTTACTTTGAAAATAAACAGGTAAAAATAAGATATTCTAGATTTATTTTAAAATGAGTATATTTTTGTGAGATGTAAATGCATTCTTAGAGGGAGGAAATACAGTGGTAATAGCTTGCTTTTAACATCCTGTGAAGTTAATACTGCCTAATAGTAATAATTTACTCTCTTAATTTGTTTTCATGCTGTGGATTCTTAAACATTTTGATTTTAAAATCCAGTTCTGCAGTGAAACTGTTAAAATTAAGAAGTTGGGGGTGGGTATATAGTGGGTTTTTTTTCTAATATATGTTTAGGAATTACCTAGTTAGTCAAAGATATGTGTCAAGACTGCAGGTAAGGAATTGTGGAAGTGTGTATTCCTAGAAAATTTTGTTGGTAAGTTTTCTGTACATAAAAAATACTTACATAAAATATGATAGCGGGGGCTGGTGTTAAACGCTTGACACTAATGTAAGATAACAACTTTAGCATGTGCCCTTCACGACCTGCAACATAAACAAGTCTGACAAAACAAACACAAGGGAATCTAGTTAGTGTAGCACCTAGACTTTCAACACCTTGCTGGAAAAAAAAGAGTACACTCACTTTGAGGTGTGTTTTACTGTGTGACTACACCCAACTATAAATACTGATATTTCCCTTGATATGCAATGGTATCTAAATTATGTTACAGGCTGGAATAAGGGAAGTAGCCAGTATTACTGGTGAAACAAAGCAGTGAATTTGAAACCAATTCAGAAACAGTATTAAATTAGTGAACTTCAAACTAGTTTCAGAATCAATTTGCACATTAAAATTATTTTGGAAAAAAACATGTTAGCTACTGTGTCCCTTTAAATATTTCATTTTTTAATTTGCTTTGTATCAGAAAGCTGTATTGACAGCCTGTCAACAAACTGGTCTTTAGAGCCCTCTGTTATTCAGCTGTGTTTGAGATTTTAAATATTTATTAAACACTAAATGGAGGCATTAATGGAAGCAATAAGGGACCTTATCATTTTCTAAACCTTCATAGCCAGGTTGACAAACAATATAGTTAGATTTGTGGGTACTTTTTAATTACATATTTTACATAGGGATCAAAAGAATGCCTGTATCTTTGTGTGTAGATACGTATGTATATAGAATTCTTTCTATCCTTCAAAAATTCTCATTTTAAAGTATTTGGGATGGGAGCTTACCTGCCTGCAGTAAAACAGGTCCCATTGGCAGATCCAATTGTAGAAAAGGCCACAAAGACAGGAACTATCCAAGAGGCTGGATAAAGGACTCTATCTCCGAATGTCTGGGATATGGGATTAAAATTAATAATTTTTTCATTTCAGTTTACCATTTGGTATATTGAGTAATGTTGGAGCCTCTTCTGAAGTACAGTAAATGAGTATCTAAAGTATGTCACCATTAAAAACATCAGTTG